AGTCGTTTGATGATATTGCATACATCCGAAAGACTCTTGCATTAGACAAAACTGAGCAGGAAGCTCTTGAGTACTTCATGAAGCAAATGAATGATGCTCACCATGGTGGCTGGACAACAAAAATGGACTGGATCTTCCACACAATAAAGCAACATGCCTTGAACTGAAATGAAAGCAAAGAAAACAAGAACTGATAGCCCGCTCTTGGGGTACTGCACTGTTAAAACCCGTTAGCAGCAAAGACTGGTTGCATAGGAATTGCACAAACCACGAATGGCATTAAAACTGACAGCAAGAAAAGGGTGGAACTGTTCAGACAATTGTCAAAAATGATGTAAAACAGGGTTTCAGATAGCACTAAAATTGTACACTTCAAAAATTAAGCTTTAGTATGATGTGTGACTTCATGTTATGCCTTAAGCCCAAAAAGGTAAACTTGGAAGAATGTTTCCCTTTTTCATTTGATAGGATAAATTAGAAAGAAAAGGAAAATTGTGCTAGCATGAAAGAGTCCATCATGCATTATCTTAGATCTGATACAACAGGTAAAGACTATGCTGGATTGAGAAGATTGGCAAGAGAATTCAAATGACAGTGAGTATTTAAATGCAGCATAGTTTAAAGGGAAGGAGTTTTAAGCTCAAGGATCTAAAAATAATAGTGAGGGGACAGTGCCTTTTAAATGTGCTTGGAGGCATTAACGTATATGGGGTTTAGATGACCCTTTGATTTCTGGGTCTGTCATCTGCACAGTTCCTGAAAGCAGTAGGAAATAGGCCCATTCAATATGGTGTTTCTTCTGCTCAGTGTTTCTAGGGGTGCAATTGATACCTTCAAAAAGAAACTCTTGTCCCCATCATCCCAAAAGAACTGACTAAGCTGGAAATTGAATGGTCAGAATTGGGTTTAGTGCAACAAAGTGTTGTAGTGTTCATCTTAGGTTTGCTTTAATCTAACTTGAACTGAATAGGTTTTTTTCATACATGTTTTCCAGAGCCTAAAGAAAGGTGAGTTATTAAAATTATTGAAAGATTATTTTTTTATAAAGGCTATTTATATAATAGGAACTATTAATATATATTCTTTATTTACATGATTTGTCCCATATTCACTCTTTTAATTTTGCAGCCCAGTTCTATCTGTCCAAGACTCTCGTTTCCATTAATGTCACTGAAGGTGACCAGATAAACTCCTAGGACCAAATTCAACCCTAGTGAAAGAGGACACAAGTACCACTGAAGGAGTGGGAGATAAACCCAGTAATGCCAGACGTGGCGTTGGCCTAAGTCTCTTCAAAAATGTTTGGGCAATACTCTTCACATTACTGAAGTTATATGCTGATTATTCAAAGAACGTATGTTTAAACCCTCAATCTTTGGGTCCACCATTTCTCTGCTTTCTTCCTCGTTTGGAAGTGGCTGTTTAATCCAGTAACCAATACATTGGAAATAGTTTAGATTTTCAGTATGATCAATAAGCAGTTCAACATACAGCACATGTTGGCTAGCTCACAGCATGTGGAGTTACCTAACATGTTATAGCTTTGTCTGTTGTGTGGGTGTGTGAGCGTGCGTGTGTGTTTATATATATTTGTAAATGTAGTTGTTGTCCTCTAACAAAATATGATGAGTGCAATCAATTAAATTGGCACCACTTTTTGAAACTATCCAGAATAATAAGAATTTCAGATTGCCCTGATGCACAATTTCAGATAGGACTGTCTTCATGACTCTTAAACTTTTTTTTTTAATTAGAAACCCATGATTCTGAGGGTGATGTTTACCCCAACATCTTAAGCTTACTAGATCTGCAGCACTTGGAGTGAATTCCAAAGGTCCAGAGCAAGCACACACAGGTGCCACTCAGTAAGTGCAATACCACATGTAATATAAAATAGGCTGACAGCTGATGTTAGATTAGCATATAAGTATATAAATAAACTGTACTTTGTGCAGGCCGTACTGATGAGGTAATGACTGGTTGGCTTCATTTAGCAAAATGTAATATATTTTGTAAATGTGCAATCAATTACATTATAAAAAAAAAACTTTGGGGATTGTAAAGCCAAGACTTTGGTCTTTCAAGACACTTTCATAGTCAAGATTCTGCAGTTAATTACTGTACACACAGATGCTTGACAGTGTTGGGGGAGGGAGAACCTGCTTTTGTGAAAATTACAGAAATTCCAAGAATACTATGGGGAATGTGAAGTTTTATTTCCTTAGTTCTACCTAAGCATTTTGGAGTAGTCCAACAGACTTCCCATTACTCTTAATTAACTGTTACATAGGACTTTTTGTTCATATTATTTTTTTTTCACTTCCCCTAGCCTTGGGCATAGCTTCTAGAGAACATTTACCCCTGTATGTACTACTTTGCAGACAATACATGCTAATGTTTCAGCTCTTTTGAAACCTGGCTTAGTTTCAGTTTAAATTCTGTTTCGTTCAAAATCTGAAACCCTGTTGACCGTAACTCTTCAACAGTAAAATTGTTATACAAATGCTACACCAAGTACTATATTATTCTTATTTATCTGGTATTGAAACAGTGTTTTACTTTCTTCGTGTAAGAGACAGTCTTTTTCAATCTGGTCAGAAAGATCCACTCAAATTTATTGGCTCTTAGGAGCCCAACTTCTTTGTACTCAGCCCTTTCCTGTCATTTACTCTGTAAGTCCTGGCTATATGTGTCTTTCAGTTCAAGCATATAGTATTTTGCACCCTTTTGCTCAAACTGAAAGATATAAGGAATCAGACTCTGTTTCTTAAAGTTACTCTAAATCCTGTGCATAAGCTGTAGAAGAAAGGAAACCTCATAATGATACAGAGACATTATATGATTTGGGGTAGTTGAAGTGTTTTTAAAAAAAATAAAAATAAAAAAAAAACAGCATGAGAATATCATGGGCTTTAAGCAACTATTCTCAGCATAACCAAGAT